GTAGGGAAAATTTTTAAAATATGGTGGTAAATTTAAATCCATATAACAATAATTATGGACTAACTGCCTGCAATTTAAAAAATGAATATTTTACATTGGATTTAAAACATACAACTGTGTTCTGTTTATTGAGACACATCTGAAACACAAGGAAACAGGAAAATTAAGTCAAAGATGGAAAGAGGTATACTAAACAAATACCAAAAGTACAGACATATTAATGTTATAGAAGATAGACTGTAAGTCAAAAAGTATTATAGTAGTTAGGTCACTTCATAAAGATAAAAAGGTTCCATTTTAAATTTATATACTTATATTCACCTAGTAATATAGCCCCAAGTATATAGTGGAATAACTGATAAAATTTCAAATAATAGTAGAAAACAAACAGCCTAGGAGGAAAATTACCTTTTTCAGTAATTAATAGAACAAGCTGATAAAATATTTACAATGATTTGGAAGACCAGACCACCAACACAATTTGACCTAACGGGTCTCATAAAATGCTGTTTCCAGTGCTTGCAAGAATACATGTGTTTTCCAACATATATGGAATAGTTATCAAAAATGATCATATTTTGGGCCAGAAAGCAAATCCAGACAAATTTGAAAGGACTGAAATCCTACAGAATGTGTTCTCTAACCGCTGTGCAGTTAGACTAGAAATCAACAAGAAGAAGATAGCTGGACAATTCCCATATAATTAGAAATTAAGAATTACACTTTCAAATAAGTCGTGAGTTAAAGAAGAAACCATATGGAAATTGGAAAATATTTGGGGCTGAAATGATAACAAAAATACTACATATCCAGATTGGTGAGATACATCCGAGGCAGCAATTGGGTCCTTTAGTGTATGTATTAGCACCTCAACATAAATGTTAGGAAAGAGGAACAGCTGAATATTAATGAGCTAAACCGCACTGAGAGGCCAGGAAAGGAACAATAAGGGAAATTCAGAACAGAGGGTGGAAGAGAGTGAAGACCAGAAATTATTGAAATTGAAAAAATACATAATTGAGAACAGGAAGGTAAAAATTTGGTTCCTTTTAAAGAATGATGCAATTGATACATTCCTGCAGGACCACTCAAAAAATTTAGAGTAGACCCAATTAACCAACACTGGAATTGAAACAGGTGATACTACTTCAGATGATGCAAGCGTGAGAGGATATTATGACCAAAGAAATTTAAATAGCCAAGTTCTTCAAAAAATATAACCTATACAACGGACAGAGAAATAGAAAACTTGAATATTTCCATCATCATCTCTAAAAATGCTACTCAGATATCTTCCCATGTTAAAATTACAAACAGATTTTTTAGATTTTATAAATACATATAAATAGGAATAGAACACTACTCTTTAATATGATAAAAATGTGGATCGGTACTAGTGATAGTAGATATCATTGTCTTATTCCTGACCTCAAAGAGCAAGCTTCTGTTTGTTTATCCACTTTGGGAAACCATTCTGGCATTATCTGAGAAGTTGAAATGTGTACATCCTCTAATCCAGCAGTGGCATTCCCGGACACATACCCTAGGAACTCCAGCCCATGTTTCTCAGGATACATATACGAAAACATTCCTAACAGTACTGTTTGTAAAAGCCCAAACTAGAGAAAACCTAATTGTTCATCAACAAAAATAGAAAAATAAGTGTGATAAATTCTATACAGCAATGAAATTAACAAACTACAGTGATGGTAAACATTAATTTTTAATCGTAATATAAAAGAAGTAATAGACAGAAGGATGCATACAGTATAAGCTCCTTTGTAAAGTTCATTTATAATGTTCAAAAACAGGCAAAATGAGCTACATTTTCTAGATATACTTTCTTAAGTGGCCAGCGATATTCTTAACCTGAGTGGTGGTTACCTTGCTGTTACTTTATAATTTTTCTTCATGTGTCACACTTATGGTTTACGCACTTCTATGTTTGTAGGCTATACTTCACAGGAAGAAGTGTTAAAAAAATTTTAGCACAAATGTTATTACTCCATTGTCTTTTGCATCCAGTTTTACGGTTGAGAAGTCTCACTTTGGGCTAATTGTTGTTCCTTTGTTGGTGGTTTACTTTTTGTGTGGAATCTTTTCATAAAATTTCTCTTGCCTTTGCTCTTCTGCAGTTTTACTATCGCGTGTCTAGGTATTGGTATTTCCTTACATGTCCTGATACTCACGGCCTCTCAATTCCTTTTGGGGATCTGCATTATCTGGATATTGATAATTCTGTTCTCCCAATCTTTTAGCCTTTCTCCTGTATTTTCTGTCTCTTTATTTCTGCTGCCCCTTGGATTACTCCTAATTTCATCTCCCAGTTTATCCTTTTATTCTTTCATGTAATCATCCTGCTAGATATTCCTTGTGTCATTTTAACTACCTTACTTTTAACAGATATATATCATATATCACTTGTTTCTAAAAGAGTTTATCACTTTGCTTTATTACCATATTCTTCAACTCTTGAACATGTATTGTACTCATTTGAAACTA